CCGGGCCAAATGCACAGTGGTTATTACTAGTATTATACCTTGTTTTATAGAGTTTTTTATGTGTGCAAAGTGCTCTCCCATATGTTTTCTCCTTTGGATGATAAGCGCCTTTTTTCTATGACTTCAGCACACTGTGAATTATCTTTAGCAACTTTTTTTTACCCGATCATCTTCTTATGTCACTCAACCAAGCAGGTATCAGCATTCCTCCATTGTAAGGAAGGTATGCTTAGTTTAATAACAGTGAAGGCAAAACCTAATCAGAAAAAAAAAAAAATCCCTTGTCAATTCATATGATTCTTGTTGAGCCAAACATCTGCAATCTATTTCTTTGAATGATGGTCTGCCCCATCCTATGGATATCTGAGAGGTGAAACTGTGTCTTGTACAGGTGTAAATAATATGCAGGAACACGGCATGCTCACTGGGAAGGGAAAGCTTTGAAAGAAAAGTCCCACTTAACCTTGAAGTTAGATTTGATTCACTAAGCCATAGTTGGGGAAGACTATGAAGGTGAACAAGACAGGGTCCCCCCGCCCCGTTTTAATATAAGTCTCATTATTATTTAGGTATGGTCAGGCCATATTGGGACAATTGCCATTAAAAAGATAGTTTGTTATACTCCCAAATCCCCGGTCACTCAGGAGGCAGAGAGATGGGGAAAACTGTGGACAAAAGCCTTTATTGTCATTCTCACAGGTAGGACAAGCAGGCCGAGGTTGGCTAGTTTGAATAAATCCAGCAGGCTCTAGGACATAGGGTCTGCCCCTAGCTGTCTAATACCTGGCTCTGGGGTGATTAGGGCAGGGGGATAGTAGCCCAGAGTGTGAGACCCCAATAAAGGGAGATGGCAGGGGTTGGTTGGTTTGCCTTTGAAAGGTGCACTCCCAAGTGAGTTGTTTAATGTCTCTAGGAGTTGGCTAACTCTGGGAGGGGCAGTCCCTCCAGAGTCCACAAGGCTGCAGAATACAGAAAATATCCATTCATCTGGATAAAGAAATGTGGTATATATGTACAATGGAATATTATGCAGCCATCAAAAGGAATGAGATCTTGCCATTTGCAACGACGTGGATGGAACTGGAGGGTGTTATGCTGAGTGAAATAAGTCAATCAGAGAAAGACATGTATCACATGACCTCACTGATATGAGGAATTCTTAATCTCAGGAAACAAACTGAGTGTTACTGGAGTGGTTGGGGGTGGGAGGGATGGGATGGCTGGGTGATAGACATTGGGGAGGGTATGTGCTACGGTGAGCGCTGTGAATTGTGTAAGACTGTTGAATCACAGATCTGTACTTCTGAAACAAATAATACATTATATGTTAAAAAAAAAAAAAGAAGAAGAAGAAGATAGCAGGAAGGGGAAAATGAAGGGGGGGAATCGGAGGGGGAGACAAACCATGAGAGACTACAGACTCTGA